AATTGACTCCTGAAAATTTTGAACTTCAACACAATAATATGTGTCCTGATGGTCCGAGTTCTTCTCTAGCTAATCAAGAGTAGGGTCCCTGCTCTACATCCCCCTCCCTTCTGACTAAGTCATGTGATGCTTCTCAAATCCTCAAAGGAAACTACACACCGTATAAGCTCAGCAGACCCAGTCCATACGATACTTCTGAGTTGTTTTGGGGCATGTGATGTTATAAACAGAAGGTTTTTTATCACATGTGGAATTATGCCCATAAAGGCCGTCACCTGTGTCTTGGTCGGGTTAGCACAAAGCAGGTTCTTATTGTAATAAATTGAGAGGTTGCTCAGTGTATGTCATCTGTTCTCGAGAGCAGCAAAATCCTTCTCCTGTGACGTAATGCATAGATCATCAGCAAATATAAAGCTCCGCGTATTGCTCTGTATGGGCTGGTGATTGGTATATCTGTTGAAGAGGATTGGTTCCAACACACTGCCCTGTGGGAGGTCATTTCATTGTTGTCTCCAGTGGGTCTGTTTTTTGCACAGTTTTACGTAAAAACATCTGTTCTCCAGAAGAGATTGGATGAGCTGCACTAGGCAGTCATTGTGTGTCATATTGTAGACTTTGGCAAGCAAGTTTTGGTGGTTGTCTGTATTGTATGCCACTGATTGATCTATGAACATAGTGCCTGTTATCATCCCTCTCTCAAGTCCATCTTCTCTGTGCTGAGTGATATTTAATATTTGGCCAGTACAGGACTTGCCTGATCTAAATCTAGCATGTTCGGTATTAGATGCTGTTCGATATGAGGTGAGAGGCGACAGAGAATTAGAAGAACCAGCTTCGCGTCAACAAGACATAGGTGACGGCCTTTCACCTACACCACCGAGAAGCCAACCGGAAACTAAACGTCACCTGGGATGGAATCCCACTGGCTGATCACCCAAACCCCGTCTACCTGGGGGTGACATTGGACTGGACACTTTTCCTCAAAGTACATGTAGAGAAGATAAAAGGGAAAGTTAGCACCCATCAACAACATTCTCTGAAAATTGATCACCTCAGTTACTTTGCGAACCACTGCTATTGCCTTGTGCTACTCCTTAGCAAAGTATGCATATCCAATATGGAAACAGTCTGTCCATGCTAAGAAACTAGAGTCTGTTCTAACCAACAGTTGTCCTGGAATAACAGGATATCTAAAGCCAACACCAAAGGATAACCTGTACTTACTGGCTGGCATTGCACCACTTGATCTCAGGAGGAAGGTAGCAAGCCAAAGGGAAAGATTATGGCAGATGGAAGATCCAAGGCATCCATTATATGGTCATATAGGAGTAATCAAACTCCTTAAATCGTGAAAGAGTTTTATAACCAGTATTATGCCTTTGGATACGAAAGCTGGCAAGGCACAACTGAGGTTACGGAAGGAAAGACTATGTGCAGTCGGACGCACTGAAATAGATGTGGAACCCGAGAAAGACCTTCCCAGAGGGGACCACACCGACTGGTCGATGCGAGCACCACCTGTGCAAGCAAACTGGTAGATCAAAGACTAATATGATCAAATGGGGCTACTCTAATGACACGAATATATGTGAGTGCAGTGCAGACCATGGACCACCTGCTCGTTTGCTGACTCTTTGGGGAGACCTGTATGAAGGAGAACCTCGCTGCAGCGATGGAAAGAGCCATCGCTTGTCCATAGTTCTGGTAAAACATCTAGTTTGTGACAAGGATACGGGAAGAAGATGCCCATAAACCTTTATGGGCTGGAAATAGCTCAGTACATATAGTTTTATGCACATAACACTTCATACAGTGAAAATACTCCAACACGTAAAAACTTATGCAAAGAAATACTTAAAAAATAAAAGATTAACTAACTGGTGCTGTTAGGGTAAATTTGTACGCCCAATTATCACAACTGTAATCTCAATTGTAAACAGTGAGTGAAAGTTCACAAAATGTCACAATAATCTATAACAACAAACGTTGATGAGGAAAAAGTGTAAAAAGGAGACAGAAAAGAATGAATTAGTACAAATGAAAAAGGCCTACTGAAATAACTAAAGGACTGTGTTAAGGTGATGCCTGGTAAACAAGAAAAGTGTGTAACTGAAAATTAATGAACCAAAATTGGTGTATCAGAAATTAGATATAATTGGTGAACAAAATAATGAGGGGATGGGCTATTCTTCCCATCACTCCCTTTGGAGTCCTAAGAGAAAAGACTTTGGAGTCAATCAAAATCAAGAAGAGAAACAACTGCAACTCTGGCTAACTAAAAGTTGGGAGAACAGGAAGGAGTGAGCTTCATGGCTGCCACTCCCACAGTCTCCTGGGGCCCTGGGATCTACTGTTACATTGTTGAGCCTTTGTCCTCCTTATCCTGAGATGTCCTGATCAGACCTGGCCAGACCCAGATGCCATTGCCACCTTCACTGACTTTGATTGAATCCCAAACATGACTTTGTCTTCTCTTCCTCCCCCATCTTGCCTCCCCCGCACATTATTGTGTGTTTTCTTTCCCCACCTTATTTTTCTTTTTCCTATTCCTCCCCTTTTGCCTTCTGTATAGTTTGCAACACTGCAGTAAGCCTGTAACCAGAAAGAGGCAGCCAGATGCAGTGCACTAAACAGCCTGATAGTGGGAAAAGTTTGCCGGGTCTTGGAGTGGCTGATAGAATCATGTGCTTGGCCTGAGTTTCTCCAGCAGTGAGTTTGTTGTGAGTGAGAGTCAACGCCAAAGACAGAAACTGTGTTTTCTATCTTTGCTCTTCATTTCTCTTCCCTTGTGTGTTTTTGTCTTGTTCTGTCTTTAGGAAATGGGATTGGCCTTTAACAATGGCAGTGACAGCAACTCCAGCCCATCTGAGGGCAGGGGACTGGACTCAATGACCTCTCGAGGTCCCTTCCAGTCCTAGAGTCTATGACTCTATGAATCTCAACTAATTCTTCTCTTTTCCCCAAGGAAGATGGTTATTACCATCTTTAATACCATCTGAAGCATCCCTGCTGTTTGGCCTCACTATCACTCTTGGAAAGACACAGGTCTTTTTACAACTAGCATATCATTCCAGTGCCCCAGTACCAGCCATCTTCATCCAAGGCACACAGCTGAAAAATGTGGATCAGTTCAAGTATTTGGACAGCACCATCTTGAGTGATGATTCCCTTGATAAGGAAATTTCCTCAAGAATTAGTAAAGCCAGCCAGGCCCTTGGCCGACTCCGAACAAAAGTCCCTAGCCAACACAACATTCGTCTCTCCACCAAATTGAAGATCTACAGTGCAGTGGTTCTAACATCTCTCTGTATGGATCTGAGACATGGACTCTTTATAGACAGCGCATTAAACAGCTTGTGCAATTTCCTCTGCTCAATAATGACCATTTGCTGGCAGGATAGAGTGATCAATATTAAGATCCTTGAAAGAGCAAACACAACCAGAATTGAGGAAATGCTACTGAGAGCACAACTTAGGTGGACCGAACATGTTATCAGTACAGAAGACCACCATCTCCCAAAACAGATCTTGTATGGGGAGCTGAGGAAGGGCAAAAGAAAGAAGGGTCATCAGTATAAGCGCTTCAAAGATAACCTGAAGAGCTGGCATACAGTGGGCTGGCATTAATCTTAAAGAACTGTAGCAAATGGCTCAGAACAGGACTCACTTGACAGTCTCTGACAAGATCAGCATGCCACAGGTTTGAGCAGGATCGAGGAAATCATATCTACGCTGCATGTGAAAGGCACCACAGAACTGCATCATCAAACATCATAGATATAGACTTCCCATGCCCTCAGTGCGGCCGACTCTGTGCATCAGGGTTCGGACTTCAGAGTCATATGCGTAGCCATAGATGAGAACTGAAACAATATCATCATCATTGTCAGTGATGGACTACCAACATCACCTGAATGACTGTCAGATTCAGGGTGTATGTGTGTGTGTTCCTTTTAAACACTTCGCCCAGCCAGTGGGAACAAAAGATGTTGTTAAAACAAAAGCCTTATTTAATAACTTTACATTTCATATGTTTTAATGTTTTTCCTTCTTTTTCTGTATCTTTAATAAAAAGTTTAAAAAAGATGTTTAAAGTTGTGCTTGCCATGGTACTAAGCAGGCTGAAGTTTCTATATGCTAAACCTCGAACTTTGGGCAGTAACAGGGTTGTTAACATCTTTTTCTCTTTGGGCCCATATATTCCATCTACATTAATACAACAAATCTTGGAATCTATGAGTATGGTGAAAACATTATCTAGTATCTGTGGATGCTGATTGTCATGTTCTGATTTGGCCTTTTTGATGTGGTCGCACCCATGCACCACTTCCCACTGGTATATAGCTGGGACTACATCACAAAAAACCGAATACCCCTATGCACATTGTGTTAAGTGTCTTAAAACCATAGGAGAGAGAATCTATTTCCTCCCTATATCCTGTTATCCCTTTTGCTATAATGGATGCGGTAGGTATCCCCCATCCTGCAACATTCCAGCCAACCCCGTAACTGCTCCTCACTCCTGCTTCACCCTCCCACTTCCAGCCCTTCTCTTCCCCTTTCTGCTGCTCAGGACTCCCAGGCTCACCAAAATGTGGGTGTTTGGGTCCAGAAACTGATGATGAGTTTTAAGTCAGCGCCTAGTTCAGCTTCCTACTGTCAAGGGATCTTGAAACAGTGCAGCTGCTGCTGTCTGCAGCTGGGCTGGGAGAGGCGGTGAAGGGTCCCTTTGCTATCTCCCTGGAGAAGAAGGGGATATATAGCGTCATGCAGAGCTGGGATGAGGGAATATGACTGAACTCGAAGGGAGACAGCTCATTAAAAAGGAAAGTGATGCGACCAACTACTAGATACCATTGGGGTGAAGGAATGGGCATGGGGACTTCTACCGAACTGCCCAGGAGACACCTGTGGTCAGCTAGAGGGAACTGAGGAGAAAGGTATTTCATTATGTTTCTCAGACGTTCCTCTTCTCTTTCCTGGGTGGGTGGGTACTTCAGAATGCCCTCTGACAATGGCAGCCCAGCTGGAGCACAGTGCCGAGGTGATCAAAGCGCTGAAGAATGGAGGAGCCCATCTGGATTTCAGGACTCGGGAGGGAATGACAGCTCTTCATAAGGCCATCCGGTGCCGGAACCACATTGCCCTGATGGTGAGTCCTGGGGAAGGTGAGATGTGCTGGCAAGGCCACCTGGCCCTGAAGGGGTCAGACTGGGAAGGGGAGATCTGGGGCACTGCTGTCCCTTCCACTTTCCTACTACTCCCAAGATGTATGCTGCCCTCTCCTTAAGTTACCCTGCTTTCCTGCCATCCCCCTTCCCCTCCTTTGTGTATGGTCTGGGTAGAACCTAAGCTCTCTGCAGCCAGGATGTTGTCTTCAGACCTCTCTGGAACACATAGTGCACAGCTGTTTATAACTAATTGTAAGCTGGTTACGTGAGCTCTGGGATGGAGTGAGTCCTGCACTCTGCTAGGGCTAGAGACATCTATCCCCTCCCTTCCCCTGCAGGTTTTGTACTGTGTTGTTCTTGATCTTTGTAACATTCAGACCCCAGAGAAATCCCCAGTGAATCTTGCACTCTTCCTGCAGACACTCTTAGACCTGGGTGCCTCCCCGGATTACAAGGACAGCCGAGGATTAACTCCTTTGTACCACAGTGCCATGGTTGGAGGGGACCCATACTGCTGCGAGCTTCTGCTTCATGACTATGCCAAGGTGGGCTGTGTAGATGAGAATGGCTGGCAAGAAATCCACCAGGTGAGTCTAGAAGAGTGGCATGATGGAAGCCACTTAGATTAGAGCCTTATATTTTATGGTTGTCCATGTGAATGTATTCTTAAAATAGGTTATGGTTTAGGCACCCCCACAATAAATGCTTTTCTGTTGTCAGTGGTTTGGGTTTTCCCCAAAGGAGAGTTCTCCCCATACCCAGGCATTTCTGACAGCCAGGAGACCCATCTCTGAGGACAGCCAGGATACCAATCGCTAGCATGAGAAACAAGGTGCTTTTTACTGAATTAGTCAGTACAGAGATGCCTCCATCCTGTGGTCTTCATTGCAGCTCTTTGCAGTTGCCCCTGACACTCAGTCTGGAATCACTATATAGACCAGAGTTAGAAGGGAGAAACTACTCAGTAACCTAGAGATTCTGGCTTCCTGTTGTCGTCCTTCCCCTTCTGTATCTTAGGGCTTGTCTTCACTAGGAAATTACACTGTTAGAATAGATGGGGTTTACCCAGGAGCAGCTGATGCAACATTGACCGCTCTGGATACAAAGTTGTGGTCAGTTTTGTGTTAGTTAACATGACTCCTCAAGGACATGTTCTACCTCAATGTACGTGACTCCTCAAGGACATGTTCTACCTCGATGTACGTTCTCTATACATCTCTGTATTGACTAATTACACCTCTACCCCGATATAACGCGACCCGATATAACACAGATTCGGATATAATGCGGTAAGACAGTGCTCCTGGGGGCAGGGCTGCGCGCTCCGGTGGATCAGAGCAAGTGCAATATAATGCAGTTTCACCTATAACGCGGTAAGATTTTTTGGCTCCCAAGGACAGTTATATTGGGGTAGAGGTGTACTTCGTGTCTTGTAAGCAAGACATGAGAAGTAAGTCTTCTGCTCTGCTGCACACTGATTAGGCCTCAGATGGAGTATAGTGTCCAGTTCTGGGTGCCATATTTCAGGAAAGAGATGAACATGTTGGAAAAAGTCAAGAGAAGAGCAACAAAAATGATTAAATGTCTAGAAAACGTGACTTATGAAGGAAGATTGAAGGAACTGGGTGTGTTTAGTCTGGAGAAGAGAAGACTGATGGGGGAACATAACAGTTTTCAAGTACATAAAAGGTTGTTACAAGGAGGAGGGGAAAAAATTGTTCTTGTTAACCTCTGAGAATAGGACAAGAAGCAATGGCCTTAAATTGTAGCAAGGCAGTTTAGGTTGGACATTAGAAATAAATTGCCTAGAGAGGTTGTAGAATCTCCATCATTGGAAGTTTTTAAAAGCAGATTAGACAAACACCTGTCAGAGATGGTCTAGATAATAGTCCTGCCATAACATGCAAGGGACTGGACTAGATGACATCTTAAGGTTCCTTCGATTCTATGATTCTGTGATGTAATTGTTTAGTGAAGATAAGACCACAGGAGGATGGGTCTGACTTTCGCTACAGGGTGAAAGGCATTTGTGAAAGTCTGAAAGGTGTTTTAGAACAGAATACCTATGATTTGCTTGGCCTGGCATGTTCTGTACCCTGCCATGTGGCTGTATTCACAAGCCATTTCCAAATTACTTTCAAATCTGTGTGAATGGGTCCAAAACTTTCTTGTTCTTCCTTATCGTCTTTCTCTTTCTCTGTTTCATTGTTTCTCTGTTTCTTTTTGAGTAGGCGTGTCGCTATGGCCATGTGCAGCACCTGGAGCATCTTCTCTTCTATGGAGCTGACATGACTTCACAGAATGCCTCAGGAAACACGGCGCTCCATATCTGTGCTCTATATAATCAGGTGAGGAGAGAGGCCTGAGGCACATGGCATCAGAACAGGGGATACACGACTGTAGTCACCAGGGCAGGGGGCACACAGACCAACAGGGAGGGGACATGGGGATAGAGAATACATAGGCTTGGGTATATCCTCTTGCTGTTACTCCTAAACCTAGAGTTGGAAACGAGCTGTTGGGTCCAATTTAGTTCTCTGTCCTTGGCCAATGCAGGATTGACCCGTTTGTACGCGTTATCCAGTCTAATTTGAAATTCCCCAAGGGATAGATCTCCCAGCCCTTCCCTTGGGGAGATGATTCCGCTGTCTAATACAGACCATTGCCAAGGAATGTTTCCTGATATTCTGTCTGACTTTTTCCTTAACTGCTCATAGTTAAACCCCTGGTATGCCAAACGAATGGTGAAAGAGCGGCAGGAGTAGAGGCCTCCATCATAAAGCAGAAAGGGATAGTTCCTTTCTTAATAGCTCTGGTGTCACCACATCTAGAATATTATATTCAGTTTAGAGGCCCTCAGTACAGAAAGATACGATAAACTAAAGAAAATCTATAGAATAGGAAGTGAACTGCTTGGAGGGACTTCATTCTCTGGAGAGATGATACAGAGTTTCAATCTTTTAGTTTGTCAAAAAGTTGTGAGGAAACTAGGGCTGTCGATTAATCGCAGTTAACTCACACGATTAACTCAAAAAAATTAATCGTGATTAAAAAAAATTAAATGCAATTAATCACAGTTTTAATCGCACTGTTAAACAATAGAATACCAATTGAAATTTATTAAATATTTTGGATGTTTATCTACATTTTCATATATATTGTATTCTGTGTTGTAACTGAAATCAAAGCGTATATGATTTGACTACAAATATTTGCACTGTAAAAATGATAAAAGAAATAGTATTTTTCAATTCACCTCATACAAGTACTGTAGTGCAATCTCTTCATCGTGAAAGTGCAACTTACAGATGTAGATTTTTTGTTACATAACTGCATTCAAAAACAAAAAATGTAAAACTTCAGAGCCTACAAGTCCACTCAGTCCTACTTCTTGTTCAGCCAATCACTAAGACAGACACGTTTGTTTACATTTACAGGAGATAATGCTGCCCTCTTCTTATTTACAATGTCACCAGAAAGTGAGACCAGGCATTTGCATGGCACTTTTGTAGCTGTCATTGCAAGGTATTTAGCTCTTCCAGCATCCTGGAGCACCCTCTGCAGGCTGGTGGTCTGCCTGTCCTCTGGCCCCGTGTCCCTCCCAGGACCCTGGTGCTCTTTGCTCTGGGTGCTGCCCCCTGGCAGTACCCCACAGATCTGGGTCTCCCCTCCCTGGGGAGCCCCACCCACTGTCCCCACCTTGCCTCAGTACTAGGCCACTGGCAGTCACCAACTAGCCCCCACTCCCTGGGGCAGACTGCAGTATAGGCCACTCATCACTGGCAAGGGGGGTTTGGACCTGCTGCCTTGGCCTAGCCCTGGGCTGCCCACTGCAACCCCCAGTACCTGTTGGCCTTATGCTAGGCCGCAGCCTGGGGCTTTCCAGCCTGGAGCTCCCCAGCTCCTCAGCCTTTCCCCAGCCTGGACTCTGGCCTGAGCTCCCGGCTCCCAGCCTTTTTATACAGGCCAGCTGTGGCTACTTCCCCAATCAGCCCAGCGTTTAGAGCTGCAGCCTTCTGCCAGGGCTGATTTAAGCCCTTCCAGGCAGAAGTGGGGTAACCACCCCGCTACAATGATAAAGAGATTACACTACAATACGTGTATTAGGTGAATTGAAAAATACTATTTTATTTTTTTACAGTGCAAATACTTGTAATCAAAAATAAATATAAAGTGAGCACTGTACCATGGAAGTCAGTGCTTGTGCTGTGTGCCTCTCCCTTTGGCTGTCGTGGCAGTGCGGTTCTAGGGAGGGGGAGGACACAAGGCTTGGAGTAATATGGGGAATGTTTGTTTTGAGAAGGATGGCATTATAGGCCACGAGAGGGCCTTAGCTGGGAGACACAGTGGCTGGCTAGTGAATGGGTGCTAGGTTAGGAAGGGGATTTTAGTTTAAGATGTCTCTTGCAGCGAGCCCTGGGGGGGTCACTCTTCGGGTACTCAACCACAGCAGCTATGTCCCTTCGGTGGCTTAAGGCTAAGTGACTGAGAAGATGGAACAATGCTGCTATACGCTGGGAATGTGGAGGCCCAGGATGGGGTCTGGTTGCAGGCGGTTGCATTCCTCAGTCCCTGTGGTAGTTAGAAAGGAGGTACATGGTAATAAATAGGTAAGGAGACTGTGTAAACCAGGAGCAGGATGTTTAATTTTTCCCCTTTGGTTTCACCTTCTCAAGAGGGGGCGTTGTTGGGAGACAAGGCTGCTGGCCTTTGGTTCGTGATGATTAATGCTTAGTCAGGGGAAAATAAAACATCAGCTGTCTGTAGTTTAATAAAAGATAACACCCCTGGCTTCCTGTGCATGGCCACAATCTGGATGGAGGGCGTGGCGGGGCTGGTCCTGGCACAGGTGTCAGGTACCTCATGAACCCAGGGGAAATCAGCAGGGAGGAGGTGTGGCTGTGCGGAATGTATCTAGCCTACAGTGCAGAAAATCGCCCTGTCTAAAATTGGGTCTGGCAGGGTGTCCAGGCAGTATGTGGATCTTGACGTGGGATTAAGATGGGACCGGGCACTGCTTGCTCTGCTGCACTGCCAAATCATTTCATCAGCAGTCTGAATTCCTCATTACAATGGCAATGGGAACGCAGAGTTTGAGTGATCCCTTCAGTCTGAATGAAGATGAATCTTCTACTGAACATCCAGATGTCCTGGCCACCATGATGACCATAGGCACATCCAGGGTATTTACTGGTCTGACCCAGACAGCTAGCCACACGTTGGACCTAGTTTTGGAGGCAACCAGACCTTAACCTGTGCCATGGACTGATCATGTACTCCTCCGCTTTGAGACTGGGGCTCATCTCTCCTACTGAGAAAGGAGGCCTCCATCCTTGGAGATCAGTGGACCCAGAAAAGTTCCAGACAGCTTAGGAGAATCTTGTTCCACTGACAGACCATTCCTTCAGTGTTTTGGTAGGACACTGTAATACTCTTTTTCCTCTACCATTGATAAGGTGGCCCTAGGCACCCTCTTTGCTGGCTTTATTCTCATAGGTCACCCTGGCTTATGGATGATCTTCAGTAAATGAAGTGAGTGGGAACATGGTCAGAGCACTAGTGGTGGAAGTCTCATGTCAATCAGTTACAGCATAAAGATTTTTTTAAACTCTTACATTGTGCCTGTATGTCGTACAAGATACTCTGGTAACTCTGGACTTTCTCAGTTCGGTAGCTGGTCTGAGTCTCTCCCTGTGTGGGGAAATTACTTTTTGTTTTGGGGACAGAACTGATCAGATTAGGGATGGGCTGTCAGCTTCTGGGGTGGCAGAGCAGGGTCTTCAGGGAACAAAAGCCTTGTCTTCTCTGCTAGAGTCCCAGCTGTGATGCTCACTGAGGAACTGGAAGTGTTGGGAGAACTTCATCTCACAGCTTGTGCTTTGGATCTATGCCCCTGCTGGCTGGTGAAGGCCGGTGGGAAAGTGATGGGCCCCTGGCTTGTGGAGATTAGAGAGGGCAGGCTACACATTGCCCTGAAGGAAGCAATAGCACAGCCTTTACTCAAGAAATCATCGCGTGACACTGAAAACCTTGGTGTTTTTACGGATGCAGGCTAACATGACTACCCCTTTGAAAACTGAAAATCTAGTTAATTATGGACAGTATGCTGATAACATCCACCGTATGTCCCTGTCTCATCTGACCTGAACAATGCCCTTTCCTCAACTGGAGAGAACAAGACTTGCAGCATGTGGCCAGAGAGCCTGCTGCTGCTAAGAGGCACAACGCTTTACAGGGAAGATTGTCGCAATGGTGTCTTGCCTTCCTGCCTGCACAGTGTGTGTCGCCCGTTCCTCTTGCTCCCCAGCTGCTTTGGGGAGAACATGAATGTGATCCCAGCGCTGACCGCACAAGGGCCTGGTGGGGGAACTCCCTAGAGGGAGCAGCAAAGCCACTCCATCAGGACCAGCCTCCCCTTGTTGTTTTTCTGGGCTGTGTAGGTTTAGAATTGGGTTTCCCCAAGATTCTGATCCTTTTTTTGTAAATGGAGTTTTCAGTTTCCTCTGTTTAGGTGGTTGAAAGACCCCAGGCACAAGAAATGATATGCTGTGTTTATTTCTTATTAAACAGATAGTGTTACATTACAGATGATTTATAGCTTGTGGGGTGGCAGTTGCATTAACTCCACAGCTGGGAGACTGGTCTGTCCAGGGGTCTGTCCCCAGGGAACGTAAGCCTTTATGGGAGGGATGGAAGAACATTGGCTTCAACACCACAATATCACCTAAACTTTGCTGTGTTTTGACAGAAGCACAGCACCCCCAAAGAGGTAGAAAGGGATGGAACATGTCCAGTGTATGATGGAACATGGAACAGTGTATGATGGGAGCACTTCCAGCCGCTGTGCCCCTGAATGCTAAGCGGTATTTGGAGGAATGGAGCTTGACTGGGTTGTGGGTGGGTAGGAGGGCAGTTCCCCTGAAGCCGTGATGGTGTCAGGAGAGGTGGAATTGGAGAGACTTGATCTAAGGCGGTAGAAGTGAATTCTGACATTATTACCTTATTTCTCTCCCTTGCAATAGGGAGCTCTCTACGCCTGAATGAACCAAGGTCACCTCTTCCCTCATATCAGTGCTAATAATTTCCTTCTTTCTTCTCTGGTTTTCTTCTCCTAGGAGAGTTGTGCCCGGGTCCTCCTGTTCCGTGGTGCAAGCAAAGAGATTCGGAACTACAACAGCCAGACAGCGTTCCAGGTAGGAGAGTATGAGGCCATCCCCCCTTTGTTGATGACGGAGAAGTGCCTTGGGGCAGTCTTGTTTTAGAGAGCACTGGGAAAGAGTATCAGTAGATAAAGCATAGGTGTGTGCCCAGCGAAGAAGGGGAGTCTGTGTCAACCATTTTCTAGTCACACGTGGGTGTAACCCTTCTGCCATGTGGCGTCGGCAGCCACAAGAGCCTGGTTCAATATCTCGGAGTTCCTCTTAACATTACAAACTAAGCCAACTTGAGCCACAATCTAGAAACCTGGGAAAACTAAACACCAGCCCATGGCACCTCTATGAGGCAATACTTCCCCACTGGCAAGCACTGACTCTGTATAGAACAAGAGAAAACTTGTACTAAGAGGAGAAGGAACACCGTATTAACAAAAACAATAATTCAAAATGATGCAAACAGTAAGTAAACACCTAGATGCAAACAGTAAGTAAACACCTGTGTGTATCTGCATCTGTTTGGTGAGACTCAGAAATAATCTGCAGATATAAAGCGGATATCCGTGGATTTGAAAGGCTCTATAAACACCCACCCTACCGTATCTCTGGCAGTGTCCTTTGCCTTAAGTTTCCCATCTTGTGGTGTGAAAGTCCAATAGCCGAATGCCCCTTTAATGTGCCCCTCCCCCTTTCACTCACTGTACCACACTCACAGTTTGTTGTCTGAGGTCAGCGAAGTCCCAGAGTCTGGGGCTGCATTCGGGGGGTTCACTTCCTGCCCCCGACGGGGTGGGGCTGGAGCATTACCTCTGCATCTGTTGCTGCTCATCACTCGCCGCCCGCTGCAGCTGCTTATCGCTGCCGCTGCCCTTTTAGCTGTGTTGCTGTTTTCTGAGGTTCCACCACCTGGCCCAGCCCTTTGTGATTTCAGCTCTCAGTGATTTCCTTGGCTAGTGGGGAACCTCACCCACACCAGGTCTAAGGCTTAGCCCCCTAGCCCAGCTTACTAGTGATTGCAGCTCTGGTCATCCTTGAGAAGACACAAGGACTCTCAGTTGAGTCTAATCAGCTCTGTCTTTAAACACTGGAGAAGAAGGGTCACATGGCACATAGATCATTTCAGTGGAGTCTCCCCCCTCCCCACACTTTTATTTGTATTTGGCAGCATCTTGCGCTCGCACTCACCCACACACCCTTAGTGAGTGACGTTACAGTTAGGGTGACCACACTCAATTAGGACATACTGAGTACAGTTCTGCTGCACTTTAGTCATACAGTAAGGATAACAAGAGTTCGCTAGCTCTGCATCCAATACTGAAGTTAGTTTTAACCCAAAACGGTCAAAATTGATCACTTTGGCAAAGCGGAGATGTCTGTTGATCACCTACACAAAGTAGGTTTGTCTAGGCAAATACAGTCTGCTCCTGGGGTCTTGTGCTCCAGTTAATCAATAGATGGCACGGGAGAGCTCATTCAGATCACTGGCTTACATGAGGATGGGGATTACTGGAACAAACTCTAGCCCCATCTTCCTTATTCTGGAACTGGTTCAGTCCCTGGAGCGACTGGGGGAGGCAGCGCACATGCACACACGGTAAATGCTGCATTCTTCTTCTTTTTACTGTTGAACTTGTAGCCCTCCTTTCACGCACTTGCTTACACACATTCAATCACATATTCTCATTCAGAAAAGACTGAAAACCATGGTCCTGATTATCAAAGATCTCCTGATATCTTTCCCAAGGGCAGGGGATATTAACTCCAACTTGGGTAGATACAGTCTGCCTCCCCAAATCCCCCTGCAGTTGCCATTTAGAAACTGGCTTCCTCATTTCCTTTTCCAGAGCGCTGTGTACAGATGCTGTAGCTTGTCTGAAGACTGTTATGTTCTACTTCAAGGTTGCTGCATTTCAATGGCACATAAAATGATTTTCATCAAGCACGAGAATCTGATTTTTAAACAAATTAAGCAAACGGTTCACACACAATGTCTCCAGTCCAATAGGTAATGTGCATGTGCAATTACTATGATTGCATATGCAGATTAGGCCATTGTAGGCAAGAGGTATGCTGATGGCTTTTCAAAGAGCAGTGAGTCTCAACCTCTTTAGCTCCGTCACCCGTGAAATGACTCCAGATCATGCAGCGACCCTTTTGCACAGGATTGTGTGATTTGGGTCACGAGAAGAAACAATGGCGGGGGGCACTGTAGAGTGGGTGATGGAAAAGATGAGGGGTAGAGTGCTTGTGAGGGTTGGTGGCTGGTGTGTTGGGGATATTTTTCTCCCCCTCTCCCCCCCATCTCATCTCCCTAACCTAACCTACGCAGCATTCAGCTCCGCAAAGGTACTGCATCCAGAGACTGCAGTGTGGGCACCACAGCCTCTAGAACAGCTCTTCCTCTGCCCCAGAGTTGAGCACTGTCTGGGCTGGAGAAGTGGGGAAAGAGAGATCTTCCCATTGCTGGAGTTTGTAGGAAGTAGGGGACAAAGCAGAGGTGGGGAAGCAGCAGCAGCAGGAGGAGGGGAAGGGAATGAGATGCTCCTGTCCTGACCTCTCTTCCCTCCTGCTGTGTTCTAGTGACCTGGCGATTTTGCAGAATGTTGTTCTCAGTGAGTGAGGTAAGACCCCTTGAAGATTCCACCCACAGGGTGAGAAACTGCCCTAGGTAACCCACTGTTGTATGCAGTCTAGTTGTAGCTGTCTTGATCCCAGGATATTAGAGAGACAAGGTGGGTGAGGTAATTGTGACATTCCCCAGGGTACAGTCTGGACTGCTGGACAGCTGTGTCCCCTCAGTTCTCCAACTTGGGGTGCCTTTTACACTGTTTCGCTGTGAGAGCAACCATCTCTGGTCTGCTCACACACAGCCTCCAGCATGTAAATCACTCCCAGCTATACTGTATGAGTGCTATAGCCAACCAGCCACTCTTGAATTACACTGCAGGGCAGCGCCAGCAAACTCCCAGTCCCAGGGTTTTCCCAGAAATGTACATCTTGTACTGCCCAGCACACCCTTGGATAACACAAGCTCATAGAAAGTCCATCATTTCATTAATAGAAAATGATGTGCACAAATTCAATTTATCCCAAATGGAGTTTCCCAAACACTTCAATCCAAACACACTGGTTAGATAAAACAATAAAACAAGTTTATTAACTACAGAAAGACAGATTTTAAGTGATTACAAGTAATGAGGCATAAAAGTTAGAATTGGTTACAAAGAAATAAAAGGTAAAATGCATCCAATGCAAACTTAACAAGCTAAGTAACTACAAAGTAAAAATTTCTCTCACCACATGCTGTACCAATCTGACTGGCTGAAGTCCTTTCAGCCAGGATCCCTTCCTAGTCCAGTGATGCTTCCTTTCTCCTTCAAGTATTGTCGATTCCGTGAGTAGCGATGAAGGGAGCGAGATCTTGGGGCATCTGTCCCCCTTTCTTATAGCTCTCCTTTTCTTCGAAAATCATCTCCATCTTGGGTCCAGGAGTCAGGAGGTCTGGGAGGATGGGAACCTCCATCTGTTTCTTTGCCAAAATGTAAATTCCTTGCTAGCACTCTTTTTCCTGCCAAAGAATGGCGGCATAACCTGGTGATAATAGTCTACTTGATTTTGTTGAAATTGGGCTGAGGCGTCAGTTTGCCTTTTGTCTTTGAGGAGCTGGTTTGTGCCTGCTTTTCTAAACTTGGAACATGCCTCAGTAATGTTATACAGTAGAATTTTACAACTTTTCAATGTTGCCACACATATTTTACCAGGACAATAATAATCAGCAGATTATTCATTTTTCAAATGATACCTCACAAGGTATACCTTGAACAAAATCTATTATAGTTTTGTAACATGTGTGAACGTAGGAATACAGACCGTCACAATAATGTCTTTTATTGGACCAACTTCTGTTGGTGAGAGAGACAAGTTTTTGAGCTACACAGAGCTCTTCTTCAAGTCTTGGAAAGGTATTCTGAGCCTCATAGCTAAATGCAAGAGGGAACAGATTGTTTAGCATAAGTGATTAGCACATATTGTAAGGGGCCATTCAAGGTAGAGTGGCCCATTAACACCTCTCCAGTCTCTGAACTGTTTGGATTCTGACAGAGCAGAATAACTGAACGAGAAGATGGAGATCCCCAGAGTTAGTCTGGATAGCTCTGAGAGACTTTTGGGAAACTGGCAGATTACTACATGTCTGCCACCATTTGGAATTATAGATTGAGACTCACATGTACATGTATTTTACCTGCTGTAACGTCTAAATAATTTTCTTTCCTTTTTCTTAGCTAATAAACCTTTAGTTAGTTCACTATAGAATTGAATACCAGTAATGTCTTTGGATGCAAATTGATGTGGGTGAGTGACTGGTCTCTTGGGACTGGAATATTTGTGAATTTTGGAGAACGTGACCAGCTATCACATAGTCCAGTTTGCCTGGGTGGCAAGATAGACTGGAGTGTCTAAGGGGAGAAACTGCTGAGCTTGAATTAATATGCAAACTAGATACCATTAACTTGGGTTTGAATAGAGACTGGTAGTGGCTGGGTCATTACACATATTGAATCTATTTCACCATGTTAAGTATCCTCACACCTTCTTGTCAACTGTTTAAAATGGGCCATCTTGATTATAACTACAAACGTTTTTTTTCTCCTGCTGATAATAGCTCATCTTAATTAATTAGCCTCTTACACTTGGTATGGCTACTTCCACTTTTTCATGTTCTCTGTATGTACTGTGACAGACCCAGACCAGTGGGGTACAGGAGTCTGGTAGAGGGCAAATATACTGGTCACTGGATGAGTAGTTTTCTGTTCCCTGAGTGACCAGAGCAGGGGCTGTACTAGAGTAATCAGGAATCTGCTAGAACCAATTAAGACAGGCAGGATACTTAAGACACCTGGAGCCAATTAAGAAACTGCTAGAATCAATTAGGACAGGCTAGCTAATCAGGGCAACTGAGTTTAAAAAGGACCTCACTTCAGTTTGTGGCGTGTATGCGAGGAGCTGGGAGCAAGAGGCACAAGGAGCTGAGAGTGAGA